ACTGAACACAATTTAAATAGTAGATTATTCTACTTTTGTAATTCTTTTAGATAATGTTGTGAAAGAACATTCTTTATAATCATATTTTGAAGGTATTGTTGTATTATTTACTTTGAAAAGAATAACAATTGATAAATCTATTTTGCTAACGGAAAATATCCTTCTACTTTTGATATCCAATATTCATTACATTATTTCAATTCACAAAATTATTAAAGCCAATTTGTCAACTTTCATAAACCAGTTCTTCAACATTTTTCTAAATTTCTTTCTGTCTTTATTTATGTAACTCCATTTTAACAGTCATGGAATAAACGGAGAACAAATAAAATTTTCTTTTTAACTAAACATCTTACAACAACACTATGTAAAGAATATCCATTACTTTTTTTGTTATTTTGGTACTTTGAACAGGCGATCAGTTCAGCTAAAGTGATAAACTACACAAATTTATTTGGTTTTTAATTCAGTTTATAATTCATAATCTGACATTCTTCTTTGACATAGAATAGAATAGAATTCTCAAAATTATTTTCACTGCCTACAAAACTGATACTTTAGTAGACATAGCAAATGAGTTAAATGCCCATTAAAATTCTTAATATTGTACTTTTGAATACAGGACTTGTTATTTTTATTTTTTTAGGATGGAAGGTGTAACAGATAATTTTTTTCAATTTATTATTAATATAATTTAGTTAATTTTGAATATTTGAAATTAACTAACCATATTACATGCAAATGATCATGTAAGTTCATGGTTACTTCTGATTACTAGATGATCAAATGGAATTGCTGATTATTACATGAAAAACTGGACTTGCTGATTTCATTACTTATTTTTGGTTTGACCCATGCGAAATATTATTTCAATCAATGTGAAAATTTTGCATTTAAAATAGCTTTATAATGGTACCCAACTACAAATGTTTTTGACAAGTTGTTTCTGAATGGTGTTATAATCCTCCAAAAATGTAATCAAATGTTCAAAGTTCTCATTTCGTAGATTGCAGAATTAGAAACAGAACTGAAGGACAAGAGATCTAGGTTTTAAGAGCCTAGGACACAACATTTCTGAATTTTGCACAATGGTAATGTGTACTGCTGAAGTACACATGTAATGTGATATGACATAAGGCTGCATGGGCACCTGCTCTCTTCCTAATATTCAGTCAGTAAAGACCTCGAACAACAATCAAAACAACAGATAACTATGTTTTTGTTTCGATAGAACATGTGGTTTTGGAATGGTGGATTTCATTCTGAAAAGATCATCAGCAATGGACAAACTAAAAGCAAATCAAAATGTAATAAGTTTAGTAACTTACCAACAGTCTAGGAATTATGCTGACAGTAATTTAACAATCATCATATTTCTGAGTCTCCACAACAAAACTACATGAAATTGTGTTCAAAATACCAGGCTGGTGAGTAGGTAATAAAATCAACATACCTATCAATTTTATTGAGAGCAACTATAAAGGGCGTCTTCTTAGTTTTCAGCAGGTTAATTGATTCAATCGTCTGAGGTTCCAGACCATGCATAATATCCACCACTAAAATAGCAATATCACAAAGTGAAGATCCTCGACTGCGAAGGTTGCTGAATGACTCGTGACCAGGTGTATCAATAATAAGGAGTCCAGGGATACGGAGATCAATTTCTGAAAACTGAACAAATCTTCCTCAGTATATCTCAAACTTAAAAAGTCACTGTTTTATGGATACATTTCCTTCTAGATAACATGCTCAATTCATTCATAAAAAAATATTACTACACTTTTCTCCATATTACCCATTAATCAAATCAGAAAAATATTTTAAACTCCCTTAATTATGCAGCTTACTTACTCCTTTTACAATCTTTGTTTGCTCTTTGATAGCTTCAATAGGAACATTAGTAGCACCAATCTGTTGGGTGATACCACCAGCTTCTCCATCTTGGACATTAGTGCGCCGTAGCTTATCCAAAATTTTTGTTTTCCCTGAAAAAAGTAAAAATGTGTAGTAATAATAAACAATTTTGATTTTCGAAAAATTAAAGCTTTCTGATTTTAAAAATTATCATGGATTGACATATCCGGCTCGGCCACATGAACTTCACATCTTCGGGAAGCTTTAAAGAACGATGCAAGGAGCAAATCAGAGATTTGTCGTGGATCTTGTGGGTCAAACTTGTTTGTAAGGACAAATGGTATGAGCTGCTTTTCCAAGGAAGCCCAACACAAAGATGGCTCCCGGTGAGCTGAATCAGTTCGATGTCTGTGGTTCCATGAGGATTGCCTCAAACGGGAATTTACGCTATTTTGTCACCTTTACAGATCACGTGACAAAGGGGACCAATTTGAGGTTTCTTTGACAGAAGAGTGAAGGTGTTTGAGTTTCAGATAGAAGATAGTTAAAATGTAGAAAGGATTCAAAGTGAAGCAACTAATTCAGTGGCACTGAACACTTGAATTCGAAATTTGACCTGTGGTTGAAAGATTTGGGTATTCAATGTCGTCTGATAGTTCTAAACAACCTTATGTAAATATGATCAGGAAAATCGAACACTTGTCGAAACTGCTGCGGTCAGGGCTTCCTCCGCTAATTTGGGTAGAAGCGGAATTAACAGGCAATTTTATTAGAAACGTGTCCAATGTCCGCTAGATGGATACACGCAGTACAAAGCCTGGAAATGAAAGGTAATGTATGTCAGTTGATTGGGAAAGTTTGGATGCCACATGTATTTTTTGGAATGTTCATGGAATGCAGAAAAGTTTGACACTGGTAGCAAGAAAGGCAAATTTCTAGAGTTATCCTCAACAAAAGGTTACATTCCACAAGATCACAAGGTTGTTATTTCACATAATAAAATTTCTAAAATCTCAACAAAAGACAAATGAGTATGATTTGGAGAATAAGTATTCTGCTCAGCAGATGGATGTCTGTGAAGATTCAATTGCCAAAGGACAAAATTAGGCCATTCTATGCATATCTCCAACCCCAAGTCATCAAAGGAAAAATTATTCAGGACATCTGTCGGGGAAGACGACAAAGACACTGTGAAATTACGTATGTCTGAACAAGGATAACAGTTTGGGTGATAAATTTTTGGTACCATAAGCAAACAGTTCACACCAATAAGAACCAAAGGCCATGAATCAATAGGAAGGAACAGGGCAGACCGCGCATGGTTTATAATTCTCTTGACGATGAACAAGTGCATTTTGCTTGCTTAGCAAAATTTCTAGTTCATTCAGCAATGTCAGACCCTGACAAAAAGGAATGGATGCAGGTGAGGGCTGACAAACTTGCTGCGGTCTTGAACCACAAAACATGGGATCGAAATGATGGCAATGCTGTTATTGAGAATCGCTTTATAAGGGGCGAACGGTGAAATCACTCTAAGGAAGACCAGAAGTTTCGCGCAGACTCTCGGCGTTGATTACAACCAGACATTTGCACCGGTAGCCATTCAGCTACATACGGCTCGTTGTTGCTTTAGAAGTGTGTTTGGGATTGCACATCCGGCAATTCAATGTTACCACCACATACTTCAATGATAATTGAACATGTGCCAACTTTAAAAGTAATTTTTGCTCTAATTTGGCAAGATTTAAAGAAAAAAATTTGGAACAATTTCTGAGAACATTTTGATGTCATTGGGGTTCATATAAATTATCCCCAAAATTAAAATATTTCTTTTGAATTTTAAGAGTTGCGACATCAGCTATATTGATTGGAGAATATCAATTTTAATGAAAATCCCATCTTTAATGTATCAGTGTGTTCACAGATGAAAAGACTGATATTTTGTAATAAATCAATTTTTCAGTATCAAAGGCCCACAATAAATGAATCCTGACTTCACAATGTATTAATAGAGGAAGACATTAACTACATATTGGAGAAGAATTATCCATGTTTTTGGTATCAGAGACCCACAAAATTAGTTTTTCCAATGGAAAATGAGTTTTTCACTGAAGCATTGCTTTACATTTCATATACACTAACTATAGTGGTATGTGAGAAAGTTAAACTGTATTCATGAATATATAATCACCTAGGAGGGGAAGAGGGAGGGGGCAGGAAAAAGGTGCTCATGGAGCATGGGGCAGAGAATTGTACTCGGTGATTTGCTGGGGTGACCAGGGACACCCTGGCCTTGTGGGTGTGTAGGTACAGCTTTTACAAATGGACCTCCCACGGCAGCAAGGATTTTAATTCCACCTCAACACAGGGGACCTCTGGACAAACCATCACTTTTGAAAGAGAATTTACTTAAAATCCAACAGTCAGGATGTTTAAATGCAATTGCCAAATGACATGTCCCCTCTGAGCTACTGAAATTGACAGCTGGAGAATCAAAATAGTAGGGTGATACAAAAATGTATAGATAATGCAATAAATTGTTAATTAAAATAACCGGCTACAAAAAACAGGCTATAAAAATGATTTGAAAAAATAAATAAATAAAGTAGAGGTAATGTATTTTTGACTTAAATCACAATGCAAACACAATTCAATGATTGCTACCATACTTGTTTGTTTAACCCTTCGAGTACCATGGGATTTTTGATGACCCCAGTCTCTTGGAAATTTTACAGAAATTCTTTAAAAAATAGAGCGGATTTAATTGTGGCTCAATTAATTTTTTATCTTATTTTATTTTCAATTTCATGTAATGATTCCTCAATAATGTGTTTGGGGTTCTTCCGAAACCCCCCATGGTATGGTCTGTAATCTTTCAAAATAAAATGCTTGGCATTGTTTGATAATATTGCATTTACAACAAGTGTAAACACAATTAGATATTTCTCCTATCGATCAACAGATACAAACTGAAAGGATTTTTATATTCCGGTCAGAAAAAATTGTCAAAATGTGCAATTGGAAATGGGGTCTCGAAATGACCCCCATGTTATTTTTTTACATACCAGCGAGACTGGGGTACTCAAAGGGTTAAGAGGCATTTGCTATACTATTACGATGAGAAAAAGTTTTGTACTTTTACTATCAAATTTATTCTAAAGCTAATCACTCAATAACTTATGAAAGCAAAAGTAATAATTCAAAACCATTGACTAGATTAATTTATCAACAAATATTTTGTTCTCTTTTTTTCTTTTAAAAATTTGAAATGTTTACCTGTATCTACATGACCTAGAACGCACACAACTGCTGCTCGAAGAACCTCCACAGTTTTGTTCTTTTCAGCATCTTCTCTGCGTTTCTACAATACATTAAAAATATTCAGTTAATAACAATTATCAATCAACTTTGTTCAGCACATGTATTTCATTTAATATATTCAAAATTATTACAAAAGCATACTAAAATTACACATTTTCTAATAGTTATTCTGGCTATTCATACAGTTCAGAACCATTATAAGTTTTTGTATGCATTAACATTGAAAGACTTCTAAAGAAAAACTGAAAAATGGTCTCTCAAAGCTCATTTCAAGAAATGATGTTTGTTATATTTACTAAGTTTTTCAAGTTAAATCAGTTCTTTTAAGTTGTTGATCTTTGAAGTTTGTTTTTGGAGAAGCTGTATAGCAAACTTTTGAAGCTTAACAAATGTTTCAGGAGATGAAAAAGAGTTCTAAAATAGTTCTTTTCACTTTTGAGTAGGAAAAGACTTCTCATTAAATCAGGATAATGAGATACAGAAATACAGATGTCTGCACACTCATGACACCTTGGCAATGCATTCTTAAATTTTGCTGCCCGAAAGTGTTCATTGTCTTCTAACATTTACACATCCAATTGTTTTAGCAAGGAATAGGTATACACTTATACACTTATTTTTCTTTGCACTCAATACTTTATTGTTTTATTGGAGGGATCTCATTGGAAAATTTTCAGCACACCTCTTTCTTTTCTTAATCAAATTGATAAAACCATGTTTCGTTCACCACTAATGATGTTGAAAATATATCAAGTGACTAACATCAATTTACTCAGTGTCAGATGACAGAGATCCACAAACAAAAACATTTCCTTGCCCAGACCAAGGTGATGCATTATTTTTAACCTTAAGCAGTCGTGAAGGACACTTTAATAAATGGTTGCAAAGGGTGTCTGCAACAGCCATAAACTAGTAAAAACAAACACATTGAAAAATTAGTAGTTTCTTTCTTAATGCAATGTATTCCACAATATTACATATTTAAATAATTTCTTCTCTATTTTATTTCAAATAAGAGTATTTTTCTCAACTTTTTGAGAGAATTTCTGAAGTGTCAGATCTAATGGATATTGAAATAAAAAAGTTTTCCAGCAGCATATTTACGAGTCTGAATAATAATGTGCTGGCATGAATAACTATAGGTATTGGATTTGAATCCTGGCCCACACCAAATTATTTCTAGAACATTTTTGTGAGCATACATTACACTATCTAAATTTAATTACAGAAGAATTTGAATGTCCAGACAAGAGTTTGAAAAAGTGTGTAATCTCATCAAGCTAGAAATATCAAAACAGGAGAGGAACTCCATTGGAAGCCTCAGAATTTAAGTTTTACACCACTAACTGTCAGAATTTCACAATCAGTCCGTGGACTACTGACAAACCCATGTCTGCTCTGCTATGGCATGCCACCTAGAAAGACGCAGTCACTTGCCCCAGGAGTCAATCAGCTCTGTGGAACAGACCCTTTAATGTGCATCTCGACCAGTAAGGTTCAGAACAATAGTGCACAATGCACTTTTTAAGAAGCTACTTTTGACTTGACATCAACATTCAATTATTCCACAAAAAAATATTTGAAAGTGATTTTCTCAGAACAGCACTTTGAAGTATATATCCTATTGAATTCACCATTTAAATAACAATTTCTTATTTTCATTTCTTTGAATATTAATTTTTTCATTGAAATAAAAAATCCCTGATTTTTCCACTGGATGACAATTTCTGTTTTTTCAGGTCTGTTGTCATCCTAAAAAGCATTCAAAATACCTTCCCGGGAAGGTATTTGATGGCATAAGTATAACACACAGTTTTCATAGCAACATGGAATTAATAAAACTGTGTTCTGGGAGACATCCTGCATGACTGCATAAGGGTTCATGAATGCAAACCTTTCTAGGGTTACAATTTTCATGCATATCTTTAGAAATTGGGATCAAATAACAAGACATCCCTGAATGTGTTGGTAACATTTTTAGCCTTCCTTCAAATGCAAAGTATGTTTCTTGGGGATATATGGAACTGATGGCTGATATCTTCACCTTTATCTTCTTTTCTTTTGAAGTTAAAGTATTAAGGATTGTTCTTACTTCATTTCTTACCCAACCAGAAACCTTGATTCCAGATAATTACTGTCAGTTCCTTTTTTTAATATATCACACTTCCTCATTTTTTGAGGAGTTAAGATCTTTTGTAACATATCAAGCAGTATTTGAGCTAAAATAAAAGGCAGAACTTTGAGATTGTTCTAAAAAGTTACAGAAGAGACCTTTGTGTAACTCATACTAAAATGTTGTTGTCAACTGAAATAGTCATAGTCGCTAAGACAGTAATGCTGAGGTAAGCATGGTTTGTTGGGTAACAGGTTTAAGACATGCAAAAACATAGGCATGATTGGTTTTCTATCCTTATACATCACTTTTTCTAACTCAGGCCATCCCGGTAGCCTAGATGATGGAGAATTGTATCAGAGGCAAGTATGCCTACCCAATATGGATGGAATGGGATACATTCCCTAGTATTACCCACCTAACTTTTCTCACCTGACAGCCTACCTTCCCTCTCCCTGGTACAATAAACAGAGAAAGGTCAAGGTTTGCAACAAAAGAGAAGTTGTTTTTCATTGATGATGAGAACTCCAGATTGTTTTATCACAAAAAAACTTAAAAAATAAATGATGCACGTCCATGTTCTTCACAGTAGACACCTCAAACTCCCGAGAAGGTTAAGAGAATTTTTATAAGTGGCAAACACAAAATTAATGAGAAAGTTGTGAAGCCATGCAAGTTGGAAAAAGGGAACAAGATTTTGATGTATTCTTGGGCTTCTGATTACACAGGAACAAGTATTTCAACAAAACTGAGAATAATGTTTAAAAGAACCAATATTCCTTTAAATTCCCCTGAGTCACCAGTTAAGAAAAGGTTATATTCAAGAAGACCAAACTAATTCTCTACATAAACATTCTGTAAATAACTACAGTTGACTCCTGATATAGTGAACTTCTTGGGACTAACATTTTTGATTCACTATATCCAAGATTGCCAAAATTAAATAGAATTTATCCACAATAATTGATCTTATGAATAATGTAGATATATAGAAAATGGTATGTTATCTGCATGAACTGAAAATTTCATATCTTTATTTGTCCTTTAAAAAATCAATAATTTTCAATTGTTTGCTTCATACATTTTTTGTTACTAATTTCTCTAGAATCTTCTCCAGAGTTCATGCTCTCACCATACTTGATCCTGCATTGTCCACTGTCTGGAAGTATTGTAAAGCAGTCTTGGCATCCTTTAATGGCTAATGAAACTGATCACTTTTCAGGACAGCACACCGGCTATCAGGAGCCTGTGGGGCTGTAGCAGTCACACACTTCCTGTCGGTCGCCTACACATACAATACAAGGTGCTTTGATCTGCAGAATATCACGTAACATCAACCTTGAAACTGAGAGACACAAGGTCCCCATTCCGAGTCCGCTACATTCACCTCAGGGGAGACTTCTTCGATTATGACCTTTGGCCAATATGTTTTTCAAGTTACCTAGTGTTGGAATTTGTGGCACTGAGTCTATATATTCTTTTCCAGGATAGAATTAATTTCCAGATCTTTCCATTTTTTATAACTGAGGTTCAGGTTAACAATAATCAAATCTTCTTAGGCATATTTGTAATGTATGTGAATTGGGACCAGTGACGAAAGTTCACTATATCCAATTTCACTACAACCCGAGTCGAGTGTGCATATTTTATTTCCACATTTCCACTAGCTTTCCACAGATCTTCCAGTGAAAGGTTGATTTATAATATTTTAACTCATTAAAAAAGTTTGCCTGTTAGATACTATTTAGACTGATACAACTTACAAGAAGGAATTTGTTGCAATAAAACAAAATTCATCGTTTCAGGAAAACAAAATCAGTGTGCTTCCCAGGTCAAGAAATTTACCAATCATATATTATTATGAAATAATGACTTGACTTTGATTTTCCAGAGGTAGACATTACTTCAAAAACTGTAGGGGTTGTTTGCAACTAATATCCACACTCTACCACATTTCTTTAAGCCATCAGTTAAGAAAAGTTGCATGGTTAATACCTCTTTTATTACCTAACCCCAGCCCTGCACTAAATATTGCTTGGTATTTAGATTTCTGATTCGCAAAAATAGAGCCTTCAAAAAACAGACCATCCTTTCAACAGTGCAAGAGGCAAAGAGAACATAATGTGTTCTCTCTCCTTTGACAATTTTTACTCCACATGTAGATCTTCAACTCTAAATATGCTTGATTTACCCACATTTTCTGAAGAATGGAAAATGAAACATTTTGACTAAGTTCTATTTAGTCTTTTTGCATAAATGGCATTTTTTAGGTTTACAGTCTTTTTAACACAATAAAAATATCCTCCTCTTGGGTAAAAGTAAATGTTGAAATAATTTTCAGTTTTAGTATTCGCAATAGTTGTCTCTTGCAAAGAAAAATATTTTCATGTATTTACTCAATGTGTCATTTGGGTTTGCATGTCACATTCTATGACTTAGAAGCTCAAAATCTCACTTTTATTGCACTTCTTTGCACAATTAAAAACAACACACAACACACAACTTTGAGCAATGGGTCTTGGGTGAGTGCAGGGCTCAGATTCTGGATGCAACACACTCGTGTGCAATGGAACAAGTTGATAACCCTGACTTTCAACTTTGATATTCTACTGCACATGTTTTTCCAGCAAGGTCAAGTAAGAAAAGCTCTCTTAATTCGAAGAATTAAATGTTAGGTCTCTTTCATTTCCACCGTTTCATTAAAAGAAATAAAACAAGTGGATGAAGAGCCGTAATATTATATCAGTGGCCATAGTTTATTGTTATTTGATTCCAGAGTTCCCCACACTCAGATATCCTTGAGAATGCAGTTGAGGCACAGAACTGATTATATGTCACAAATGCTTACCATACGTTACCAATTTTAATTTTAATTATGTAAAATTTGGTGTGCTGTACATTCCTAAAAGTGGTCTTTTAGAAGAGCTAAATTAAGAAAATTGCAATTAATGGGTGGTGGGGGAGAGACAGATTTTCAGAGACTGTTCCAAGAAAAATAGGTCATTGAGAGGGGTGGAGAGACTCTCAGAGACGTTTCACCATACTACAAATATCTCACATAACTATTCTTCTACTATTCTATGGCTAATAGAGCTATATAGCTAAAGCCTGAACAAAGAGAGGATAAGAGCATTTCAGAGAACCTAGCAAAATTGAAGAACAATAAATATATTTACCTGAATTCTTGCCAGGGCTCTCTCTCGCCTCCGTTGAGCATCTGTTTTATGTTCATCTTCACTATCTGATTCCTCCTCGCTACTCTCCTCCTCTGAATCAGATCCTGAATCAGAGCTCTCCTCCTCCTCATCTTCATCGTCATCCTCCTCCTCTTCTTGACTTTTTTGACGTACTGGTGCTGGTTGTGTCTCAGTTCCTGTCTTTGATACCTCTGACTTATCTAAAGAAAACACACAGTAATGATTGTAAGAAATGATACAGAGAAATATATTAATCGAATGCACATGAAGTATATTAGTTGCCAACTCAATACCTTCATCTTCATCCTCAGAGGAGTCAGCATCCCAGGTGTCCTTTACATCTTCCTCCTCTTTCTTCTCTTCTACTTTCTCTTGCTGGGCAGGAGCAGTATCAACAATTTCCACTTCAACCTTCTTCTCAGTATCTTTAGTTTCTGAAAATTTTGATTTAATAAAAATAAGTGCTTTATACAAACCAATAGATCTTAAACACAACATAGAGACAAGATGTTAATTATATTCACCAACACCAATTAGTGACTCAATACCTTGCTCTTGGGATTGTTGCTGCTGCTGTTGTTTTTTATTGGGCCTTATTCTTGTACCAGGTCGAAATTTACGCTCTGCAACGGCAGGCATTTCAAGACCTTCAGCAAGTCGAGCTTCCAACATTGCTTGGGCTCTTCTTCTATCTTCTTTTTGCTTTGGAGTCAATAATTTACCTTCTGCTTTTAACCTTTCACGGCGTTCCTTTTCTTTTTGTTTCTTCTTTTCTTTTCTTTCTATTTCCAGTCGTTTCTTAAATAAAATTAATAATTTGGATTATAATTAAAATCAATGATCTCGCACATTCGCTCAAACACGGCAACAATATTAGATTTAAAAGTAAAATATAGTGTTGAAATTACAAGTACAACAAAGATGTTATTTCCCCTAAGCAATATAATAATGTATTATAACAATTATCGATTTATTTCTCACTTAATTTCTTTATTTATCAATACATTATACTATACCATGAATGAACACTGGCACTTAAAGGCAAAATAGGTTAAACCATCCCTTTTACAGCGAAGTAAACAAACAGGTAGAAATGAACATATTTGCCCAAGAAAAACTGATGCTATAAATATTTAAATGCAAACTATTTATTATTCAGATGCACTATTTAATATATGATTCTTTATTAAGATTTATTTTAAAAACAACCAAAAGTTAATATCATAATAATAAACATCCAAAAACATCAGAGAGTATCTTTTTTTATTTCATAAATCATACTTCAAACTGGATTTTGATAATGAAGAACTGAAGATTAGAACTAAAATGTTTAGTTGAGATTCATGTGTTCATGACCTGCTTATTCCTTACATCACTACACATATCATGGAAACATAGGATCAATTCACTCTCTGGGCATTGGTCAAAACATCTATAACAGTTATGTAATTATATTAGATAAAATGTCATTACTATTAGAAAACAAGGTAACCATACCTGTTCTTCTCTCAGTCGCTCAGCTTCCTCAATCTTCTTCAGTCTTTCTTCCTCTTCTCGAGCCAGTCTTTCTTCCTCCTCTCTCACTTTCCTTAAAGCTTCTTGCATAGCTGCAATTGCTTTCTTTCCTGGGCCTGCTTTCTTTCCTTTCTCAAGAGGCGGTTCTTCTTCTTTTCCTTTTTTCTTCTTCTTTTTCTTTTTATCATCACCTATTGAAATTAAAATTAATGAGGTTCAGACTTTATGTAAAAAAAGAGTTATTTCAATGTTGTTTACTTTCAATGTTTTTTGACACTAACCCTCAGCTTCATCACCTCCAGCAGCAGGGTCCCCATCAGGCTGAGGGGCAGGAGTAGCAGCTGGCTCACTAGGAGCACTTACGGCACTAGATACAGGAGGCTCAGCAGAAGTAGGAGCGGGAGTGGTTGAAGCAGCAACAGCTGGTCCAGTCTCCTATACAAAACAGATACACAGATAATGAACTGACATTTTTAGAGTCACAAGAATAATTGTGCATAGCATTTCTCACCTTCTTTTTCTGCTCCATCTTCTTTTGCTTTTCTCTCTCCTTTTTCTCCTTCTTTTTCTGAGCAGCTGATTTCACTGTGCTCTCTATCTCTTCACCATCAATTACTTCTGTACGTTTACCCTCTTCTCCATCACCAACTTCATTTTCTTCCTTTTCTTTCTTCTTTTTCTTTTTTGATTTCTTACCATCTTCTTCCTCTTCTGTTTTCTTTTCCGCAACCTCTTGGGGCACTTCCTCTTGCTTAACACCTGAATACTCCATTTCTAGTTCTGCTAGCACTTTTTCTATATCCTCTTCATCATCATCTTGCTTCTTTTTCTTCTTACTCTTTTTCCCCCCAGCAGCATTTTTGCTGTCCTTTGTCCGATCACTTTTCACATCATCTTCTAAACTATCAGTCCGCACAACCTTCTTGCCTTTTTTACTTTCTGCTTTATTACTTACCTTATCCTCATCATCAGAGTCTTTTGTATTCACTCCTGCATCATCACTACCTGAATCTCCTTCATCTTCCATTGCAAGTAGAGCAAACCCACCCTTCTTTGCTGTAGTTCTTGCCCTGCTTGGTTTTAAATCAGTCTCTTCATCACTATCATCATCAGCTAAAGAACTAAAGGTCCCCTTTTTCTTTGATTTCACATTTTTTTGGGATGGTTTCACTTCCTCTTCTTCAGAAGAATCACCTTTTGATTTCTGGCAATAATGAAAAAATAAGTAAGTAGAATGTAAAAAATCAAGTATTAAATTTTAAAAAATTAACCATAGTCTTTACTTTTTACACAATATTTTCAAATCTTATATTATGTACAAAAAATTAAACATACTTTATTTTGTTTTTTTTCTTTCTTAGATTTGTCTAAATGAGTATCTTCAAGCTCTTTGACTATTTCATCCAAATCCTCATCTTCCTTTTTCTTCTTTTTCTCCTTTTTGCCTTTCTTCTTTTTTGAAGTTGCATCTTCATCATCATCATCTTCAATATTTTCTTCATCCTTCACTCTGAAACATTATCAAAAATTAATTTATTCTGAAACATTTCCAAAACCCATAATATGTAATATAAATGTTACGTGTGTGTTGGTAAAGGTAGCTGAGCAGTATTGCATCATATTAACCACCTTAACATATTTCATCATACGGGGAAATTTATCAAATATTTCATTCAGGTAATTAGTAATTACGTGAAATAAACATACTTCACTTTGGCCTTCTTTTCTTTCCCTTTAGCTGGAGCATTATCATCAATAACAGTTGGTGGTTCAACTTCAATGTCATCATCACTGCAGCAAATTTACAGAAATATTCAAATTAATGTAAGAAATCAAAATGATACGTCCTAATGACATATATGAAAATGTGATTACTTCAGAAAACATACGGAACATTAAGTAGTAAAATTTTAACAGTACTTGACAGAACTTATCAGAACCGCATTTAACCTCAAATTATATGAAATAAGGAGCATATACAAAAGAGGGTTTATTATCATTGGATTTCATTTTCACCGAAACGTGAAAATGTTCTTTAAAAATTGTAACAACAATTAATACATATAAACAGATGACCACATGTGTAAGTTACACAACTCAGTATTTCACAACGAGATCAATTGTATGAAATCGATATCAGAGCCCATGTCACACAAATAAAGAAAAGTAGAGTTTGGTGAGAATACTGGTGCTTCTTAGTAAAGTGATCATTCCACATAATCATAATACTGTAGGGAGTAAAGTACCAGATTGTAGGCAATTTTACTCACATTTCGTCCTCCTTGTTGCCCTTTTTCCCTTTCTTCGCTTTTCCCATCTTTACTTTATTTATTTCAAGGAATTCAACTTGGATGTACGTTTATTTTTTACAACAAATTAATCAACAGGCTGTCCGGCAGTCTCCTACCGCATTTACCAGGTGGTCACTACAAATACGTAACACGATCCACTATCCGGCTTCGCCCTCCTCTCGGCATTTCAGAAAGTGCAGGGAGCGCCATCTGGGTATTGGCATCGAATAAATGTCAAGTTGCTGCCAGAGGGAACTACCAGCGGGCGTCGAAAGGTGTACCAACCACAGCCACAGTAATTTGATACGATGACAATTGATGTCAGGTGATGTCAGGCGGAGAAGACGGTGACAGGTGTGCAGAGAGACGCATTTTCATAAAATGTCAATACAAAAAGCTCATTGCTAATGTAGAGCCATGTACTACAACGCAGTCATATCAGGAATGTGTGCCGCTCTTGCGAGTTTGTTAGGCAAATTGTCTGGTATATTTGAATGGGGATCACTTGTAAGTTAGTGAGGTTAAACAGCACTTCATTGAATAACTTACATTAAGCTGATGTACAGAAAAAGAGATATATTGTGAATCGTTGCAGGATTCCGCAGTTTTGAAGATTATATTACTTTTGGCAATGTTTCTCTCCAACGCGTGTGTCTGGACGTTCTTTGTTAAAGCTTTACACTCTTCTAAATCATCTTTATCGGCGACTGTTACGAGTTCTGCCACGAATTATTTTTGTTCTGTGAGCATCGAAACTTATTATGTAGTAATTTGAGAAAGTGAAACTTGTTCCTTCAATTGTTTTCTTACGCTGTTGCAGGCATTGGCGGGATATTTATTTTTCAATGAAGTAACTTCTCTCCTTTGGTGGGCAGGAACTTCTTTGATAATAATCGGAATTTTAGTAATTAACATGTCCCAAGGAGAAGAACTGAAAAATAAATCGTCATAATTTTTCTTAATTTTGTCAATTATATAATAGTGTTTATTTTAGATAAATTGCATTTATTTTTCGTAATTTTACCAGCATTTAATTCTAAATTTCTTACATTCTAAACAATTTTCATCAATATTGTGTAGGTGTACATTTCTGCCTAAAATGATGTATTTTAAACAGGCTGGATTGAGTAAAAAATTAAGACTGATAGCAAATCTGAATAACATTGTTCCCAATTACAAATCTAAATTTTCTAAAGCAAATAAAAAATAGAATATCACAACAAAAAGAATTTGAGTTTAAAATATAAAATGTATGTCTATTTCTGTTGTGACAACAAGTAATCACCACAGTAAATTACAGTAATGTGATAATTCATTCTGTCACTTTCCCATAAACCAAGAGCACCCAAAAAACTATTCTAAATCACTTATTCAATGTTTTTGACTCAAAATCAGATAGTAACCACAAAGGGAGCAATTAACACAAAAACCTCAATTGCTGTTATTGAACCTAATTTTAATTTACCTATTTTATAAACATTATATAGTTTTCTGCAATTTATGAGTATGTTTCGAAGTTTGTTTATATAGTATGTTATAAAAATTATATTTTCAAGTTCACATTTGTGTATTACTTTGTAAATAAAAACTTCAAATTTTTTTAGTTTTGTTTGTGCAAATTTTTGTATTTTTTTCTCATCTTTTACAGCACTAGAACTCAAGTTTTCGTATTTTACCAATCAGAATATTGATATTCTGGACAATCATCAGGTTCATATTTTGTGAGAAAACGTAAATAGACAAAATTACAGCTACTAAATGTAAAATAAACAAATAAGTGATAAAGAGCATGATTCAGAGTTTTGAGATCAAATAATTTTACTAAAGCATTTATGCATTCAAAATTCATATGCAGAATACTTGCCCAGTATCACAAATACTTTATAACAGAATGTGCAGAAAGAGTCAGAACAGTCAACACTAATTTGAAGTCTAAATATAAGTAGTTGTAAATGTAATTGGATGCAAAGTAGTGCATTTGTGGATTGTTTTGGGTAAAGAAACAATGAAATTAGATATATTATCCAAAATTATCTTGATACAAGAACAATTGCTGACAAATTTGAGAATGGTTGGTTCTCAGAGAAAGGAAAAATGATTTACTAATTAGGAAAAAAGTAAATTAAAATGTTTACAAAAAATATTGCATTGCACTTCAAACAGGAGCATATACCAATGAACAAGAACAAGAGTGGTTAAGAAAACCAAAAATAAATTTAAGCAATAATAATCAGACAAATGTGAATATATGCGTGCATAGATGTAGGCACATGGGGAAGGTGGGGGCATGGTTCTCACAATCATTTTGAAAGGGGGCCCTGTAACATTACATTTAAAAACATTTTATATCTGAAATTGCATACTATTCCTGATTTCCCTGTTTTTTAACGTGACAAGTAGGCAAATTTTTTTATGACATTGGAGAAGAGGCTCTCTAGTTTCATCTTCATATGTTTTATTCATTTACTAGTAAAATATGTCACGTGATAGTAAAAAAATTCAATATTAAAGGGTGTCAGAAATGTAGCTGCCACCCTGTCTTGTTTTAGGCTGCACTTGCTTATGTACTTGTATGTAAGCGTAAGCATAAACATAATAATATATAAAATTATATTGTTTTTTTATTTAAAAATTATTCTAATAAAATAATAAAAGCATGCTAATACAAATTGATTTGTCATACATCATTAGAATTAATTTTCATTAAGAAATATATTTGATTTTTATTATTGGTATAAAAAATTAATATTTTTATGAGATCTTTTTATTAGCATTGATTTTAATTGACAGAAATTATTATTTGTATTACTGAATTCACTTCAAATAAATGTGAATTGCAACAACCTACTACAAAAAATTAACATACTATTGAAATCTATTGAATAGCATAGATGCTGTATTAAGAGTAAATAAATTCAATACCCATCAGAGGAGATCAACACAAACAAATAATTTGTATTCACTATCTTAAATAATATGCCTAGCATTACAAGCTTTAGATATTAATGGCTAACTTCCTTGACTTTTAATCTGCAGCAGATAAATTTATCATAATGAACACCTCAATATAACTACTACGGCCTTGATTAGAATGCCACAGAAAACTTTAAATATACTTAACAAGGTTCAAGATTTGAAGACATTCACAGTCCTGAAGGAAGAGAAATCTGTTCTTAATTTCCAGAAATAAAAATAAGACAATATGAAAGTGGTAAATGTGCTTCTAAAGAGAAAAGGACCTATGTATTAAGAATGTAACAAAACTTACCTATGGGAAGTTTTTAAAGGACATTTAAAAACTTATTTTAGGGCACTTTTCAACTACATGGGTCATAAGTGCAAGCATCACAAATAGCTCATTTTCTACTATTTATACATTTCATTGTATTACATATTATCTTTTTAAAAAATGACATTTTACATATAAGTTTTGTTGACATTACATTTGCTTTTAAAACACATGTACTTTTGTGCAATGGAAACGAATACATTTATTTATTTATTTATTTATTTTCAGAGACAATATACTTATGTCCTTTGAAAACTAATTATAGTTGAAGGTGTAAGTCGAGGTTAAAAGGGGAATAAGATTATTTGCCTTTACATTAAGATATCAAAGTTGCAGCTTTTAATAGTTGTGGGATTTTTTAAAATTCTCCTGAGAAGAGGAATTTAAATGAAACAGGTATTATTTACTGCTTCAACTAGATCCTGACATTGGAGGATTAAATGAGAGATGTGGATACTTGGAATCAACATTGGGGCCTTGCCATAGAGTCAGTTTCTTTAATTAGGTGGAGATCAAAGTGGGTCAAAATGTAGTCTGATAATTTGAACTTGTTGGATTGTAGAGAGTTAGAGGTTAAGGGGAGTGGATTCAAAAATGGATTTCCTTATGACACTCAGTTTAAAGTCAGCCATTTTCATTCTTTTAATTTTAAAAGGATATTTGTAGTTAAACATGTTTCATGTAATTCAGATGAATAATTAATTTATTACATTACTTTTTACATTATGAGAAATTTTACTTTTGAAAATTATAAATACATAAAATAGAGAAAAAGTGGAATGAACCCCTTTTTTAAATAATAATTTGTTATTGTCAACCAAGTGTTTACTATTTGTCTAGTTTATATTTGATATCTCTGTTTCTATGCAGCAGTAATGTATTTTTGTAATCAAAAAACACAGACACAGCCATCTTCTCCTTTTTAAATGACATACTTGTTGCACTAAATCAGAAGGATAATTTGGGCCTTTTCTTAGATTTGTAAAAGCCTTTGGACATCATGACCATCATATACTTTTAAGAAAACTAGTAAATGCTTAGGGATTCGAAGCATTGCAGGCCAAAGATTAAATCATATTTTAGTCAAACCGTAGACAAGTAGTTGCCCTTCCAACACACTAAAGAAACAAAATCTCCTCATACTACTCCTGTCCTCAAATTAATAAATTGTAGAGTCCCACAAGGATGCCATCTCGAGCCATACTATTCCTTATATACATTATGACAATGCCTTTGGCTTTAAGGAACAACAAAAGTAATTTTGTTTGCAGATGGAAACAAACTCGTCCATCAAAGCAAAAACACAACAATCATTAGAAAAAGAAACTCACAAAACTTTGCAAGCACGAGTAAAATGGTTTCAAGACAACAAACTCATCATAAACACCAGCAAGACAGTCTCTCTATATTTCATGAATCCTCGATCTAAAAAAAAACACTCACAGCATTTGCTCATAACCAATAACCCTGTAATGATATCTCATGAAACTACCTTCCTCGGACTAACAATTCAAAAAAACCTAAAATGGAACACTCACATCTCAAATCTTAACAAGAAACTCAGCAAATCTTGCTGTGCCCTATACACCCTCAGGTCAAGCACCAACATTGAGACACTTTGAACAATGTATTTTGCAAATGTGCACTCACACCTAAAATATGGAAAAATAGATATTTTGGGGAAATGCCCTGAAAAGCACTCAGCACATTTGTTAATCAAGAAAAGATACTGCGAAACAGATGACCAGACTCATTAACGGAGTTTTGCATCCCTTGTTTGAATAAACTAGGATCTCTTCGCTCATGAGCAATGTACATAATTTGAATATATGTGGGTCTCACAAGGAAATTCTCATGGAAAACACGAACTGACATTTTACTTTAAAGTTCTGATGTTACATAAACATCACAACCGTCAAAGGATAACCTAATCCGCTCGCCACTTCTGAAACTACACTTTAATCAAAAATAAAGTCCCGCTAATAGAGGGCATTACACTTCTACAGACATAACTAGGCAATAGATATCAATAGACATAAACACACCATATTTCATTCACATTTAAAAGTATAATTTGAAAGGCTTCCTTGTTTCTAATCAACTTATGTTCTATCAGTGTAGAGATGGGTAACTTTTCTAAACATTACATACATTTCCTTAAAAATTATAATAAATAAAGTTACATTTTCTTATGTCCTATTGAGACTTCATTCTGTCTCTACTATGCTGAACTCTGTTTCAGAACGCTGAAAGCAAGAAAAAAGATCTGCATATCACATTCCTGTGAAATAGAAGAAGAAAAAAAAAACTGGTCCAAAACTTGTCTCCCTCACCATTTCAAGTTATCAAATATATGAAAAGAACTACCTATGTGTTAAATTAAAATTGATATGTATTAATTAATGTAATTATTATTAATATTATTTATAAGTAGTAGCATTAAAAGTATGCAAATATTGGAAAGTTAATTATTAGCAGATACATTTATCTAGCTGTATACAATATCTTTAATCTAACTGTAACAAGTATTGTATTTCTAGCTAATGACCCCCATGCTTCGATCAAGGTTTTGTTCAGTTTCCTGATCTTTGAGCAAATGCTGAGATGGCCCCGTTGTTTGCTCCTGAGACAGTAATATAAACTTCGCTCTCTCCACCAAGGCATCATATCTGACTCATCATATCCGACAATTGTAAATTGTATAATTGATCAAATAATAATTATTATTAGTTATTATATTATATTATTATTATTATTATTATATTATTATTAATAAATAATTAATGAATAATAAATATAATAATAATAAATAGATAATAATAATAATAATAATAATAGATAATAATAATAATAATCAATTATAAATAATTCTAAATTAAATTTTAATCTTAAAAAATAATTTTAAAACATTAAGCCCTATTTGATACGACTTGTTTCCTTCACCTTTTCCAGTTTAGTGTAAAGAAAGTCACCATTTCTTCAAATCTCAAAAAACCTTTTTTGTTCTGGATAATTATTTGTATAACCCACAATTAGAAACCATTCTGAGTATTGAAAATAAATGTGATATTTATATTTTAATAATTCTTATTTTATAATAATATGTATGTATAAACTATTTTTTGTAATGTAAATTTTTTGTAAATTGAATATGCCTGCAACAAATATTGCAAACAACTTGTGTTTGCATGACCTTCATCACTATCAGGTCTTTCATCCTGTTTTACTTAAATTGGCTCACTTATCTTACAAATCCTTCAGAAACAACTTTTAATGAACATCATTCCTTTGTGTGCCATGTGAT